ATGATGAGAATGATCCTCCATTGTAACTTATTCAGATAACTAGTTAAAAAGATCACAAATAAGGTAGTCTTTCCCACTATTTCTGATTTTTCAAGATTCCCAGCATCATTTCCTTTGAGAAATAAGACACAAATTAAACACAAAATAATAATTTATGGTGAAAAATTTTATGCCTTTTATTTCCTTTCTTGGGCTGTTCGCTATTATGTTAGCTCAACTTATGACAGAGCTTTGCTTGCTTTCTGAAATAAATACTAAATAGTTAAGAACGCAGTAGACTGGGTTTTAACATGCAGTGTTGTTTCTGGCATTTTGGGCTTTCTTGCAAGATCATGCTGAAATACCTTCTGCTTCCTTAAAGCCTCTGTAAAAGCAGGGTGTTACTGCTGTGTAGGGCAGTTCACTAGCAAACACTGAACAAACAAAAGACCTACCAGCTATTTAAAGTTTCAACTGAGGCATGAAGGAGTAAGCTAAGGTTTTACCCTAGAGTATAACAAAATAACATCTTGATTAATGTTGGCCTATGAATTGTTTGGGTAGCTTATATTCTGTACTATTCAAGCCAGCTACATTCAGACCAGCTCAGCTTTTATCTTGTGCTAACCTTGATCCTGTAACTCCAAAAGCTATTTGTATTCCCTGTGTGATACCATCAGCTGTCCCAGATTCCATGTCATGTCAGCAAAATTAACACAAGGTTTTCAGTTCTGTACAGCTCTGGTGTACTCTGTTTCCTGCTCCTTTCCAGGGACGGCACTGACCAGCACAGTGATGACTCTCAACAGTTGCCATGCATTTCTGAGCTCTTCCATTCAGACAGATTTTAGTTAACTACATCAAGTACTTCTTGCTTTGTGGCTGTTAAAGTGGTTTGCATTAGATCTTTACAGCCACCTAGTTTAGTGATTCTATGTTTTTCACAGAAGAATCACCAGACACTTAAAATTGTCCTTGTTCCACATTTTATGGAAGAACAATAATTGCTTGATATGTGGGATTTTCAACTTCTGGTAAATTTTAGAAAATTTTGATGTAACTGAATGCCTCATTTGAATGTTTCAGTTTCCACTCTTTAAAACCCATGCTATTGCTAAAATGGCTTCAATGGAACCCGGGAGGAATATTTGACAGATTTTGATGGTTTCCATTTTTTTAAGCTTAAACTGTTCACTTTATGTGCATTTTGATTTTGTTCTGTTAAAAAGAAAATCCTTAAGAATGGCATGGAATGTGTTTTGCAAAGCTGATGGCTTTATGAAGTGACAACAAAATTAAAATGTTCACTGTAATAAAGGCTGTAATAAAGGAGTAGACAGAGTCCATCTGCCTCTCCAAACCAAATGAAACCTTGTTCAATAGCACATTATGCCATCAGCGTCATAGAATTTTGGAATATTTGAAGTTGGAAAGGATCTCTGGAGATGGCCTAGTCTAATCCACCTGCCCAGAGCAAGACAGCCTAAAGCATGTTGCCCAAACCCTATCCAGATGGCTTTTGACTGTGTCCAAGGATGAAGATCCCACAACATTGCTGGGCATTCTGCTCCAGCATGAGACCACTTAGAGTAAAAAGGCTTTTCTTCTTTATTTTTCCCTTATTTTTAAAATAATATTCTTGATTTATTATAAAAACAATTCTGGCAAAACTGAAGTTAAGATATTGTTTGCCTTAAAAAAAATCACTGCCTATGAATTATCTTGTCTACCCCCAGGCTTGCAGCTTAGTTTTTAAACAGTTGGCAAGAGTATAAAATCACAAAAATAGCCTTCACCAGTCTGGATAGGAAATTACCCTGCTGGTTCTACTACTGGTCAATAAAATTGCATGGAAAAGGTTTATCCCAATGTGTTTACCTAATCCTGCACACTTTATCAAGAACAGTAACAGGGATACACTTAAAAATGAGGTTCAAGTGTAAGTGTGCTTAACAGTACCTTTTTTTAATTTTTATTCCATGTCTTTATTTGAAGTAATTTTGACTCTGTCAAGTATTATTCAAACCTACTGGCTGTTTTTTAAAGGCAGTTTAGTATTAGCAGGTGTGTTCCAGCATCTCCTGATCATCAGCAATATGCTGACTTTCTCTTTTCTACCTTTATTCTGGAAGAGGTGGCATTACCATTTGTAAACTATACATTTACCAAGCACCTACAGGTCTAGAGCCTTAGTCTGAAACTCCAATACATAGGAGAAGTTGCATTTTACAACTGCTGTGTTTTGTGTAGGTATATGTTATCCAGTAGAGAACAAAGTTACTTAGGGCTGTGTACAGGAGTGGCGGAAAGGAAGTATTTCTCAAGGCAGCATGTCAAGTTCCCATTTAGAAAGAGACTCCTTTTAAATTGAATTTACAGTCTGTTTGGAAGCCAATTAGCTCCTGAATATATACGCACACCACATGTGTGTATATATATATAAATATATATATTTTTTTACATGTTTATACATGCATGCGTACATACATTCTAGGCTTAAATTATTAAATAATAATCTAAGAGAAGGTTAAAATCCATTAAGGGAGCACTAAGATACTGTGTTAGAGACTGGTACACTTGAAAGCACTTATTAAATTTAAGCTCTGGGTGCACATTTCAAATACTGCATGCTTCAACTGTGTAAATACGCGTTCTCCAAATTTGAAAAGTCCACAGCAAAAAGGTGTGTATTTCTTCAAAACATGACAGATGTAAAAGGAATAAGACAGTGATAAGTTCATCATATCATGGTGAATGTCTTCTCCTTGTGCATTTGAAGTTATAGTTTGTAGTCTGTTTGAAAGTCTTCTGAATACCTGTCAGCAACAGTCTGCTCAGGGAAAAAGGAGGAAGATGAACAGATGGCAGCCTTTAAAGTTGTGGATTAAAGATAAATTTAGTGCTAAAAGGGAATTACTGTTGTTTAAAATGCAAAGCTTTCTCTTTATTCCTCTCTAAATTGAGACTTCAGGCAGTACAATTTCTGACAATCACATTGTTCTTAAAAGTGCTCCTTTCTGTAATCTAAAGTGTTTTAATTTATGAACTTTTTTTTTTATTGCAGCATTTTAAATACATTTCAAAAACTATGACACAGATAGAATACATAGAGCTGCATTAAATGTGGACTTCAAAGTTCAAGGACTGTCAGAAATAAATATTTATTGATTTGCCTGCCAATATTACTTTCCTTTTCACTAGATCCATCAAAGTAAGTCAAACGCATGGGGTTAGCAGGACTGTAAACATTCACAAGACTGAAGCCAACAGATCACTCAATACAGGATGTTTATGATTTGCATTGCTTGAGAAAATATTTTAACACACTTGCAATATGAAATATACTATAAAAGGCAGAAAAACTGGTAAAAAATAGATTTGATATTCAACAGCTGTATATGGGGCTTTTATATTTTTTTACATCTTAATTCTCCTTGCTTGTATTTTAAGCTAAAGTTATGTGTCATAAAGAAGGTAGTACACTATGGGTAGGCAGTTGCACTTCACAACTTCAAGATAACTTACTAAAATACGACAAAATCTTGTGTTTTAATAGTCCATTGGAATAATATTTGACTTTAACCTGTATATCTTCAGGGTCTAATAATATATGTTAACAAATATTCTAGAGCAGATTTTGTCCAGTCTCTTCTTTTGATTTTCAATAAAGTTTCATCCTCCAACAAAGTAGGTAGTTGACTGAAAACAGACCCCAAACGAGATTTTAAAGGTTCTTTTGTCGTATATAAGGCCAGCAGAACAAAGTCAAATGTTTGATGCCTTTTTTTTTTTTTTTCCCAGGAATATAACTAGCAGAACTAGTTATGTTAGCAGGAATACTGTGAATTGTAGCCTTGAGTTCACTATGGATAAGACACCCACTTAAACTCATAGGAACGGCAGCCTCTAGCCTCTGAGTCAGAATTTTAACTAAATCTTAAAATGTTTTCTGAAACAGTATATAATCTTTGGTATATTAGATATTTAATATGAAATTAAACCAAGAGTTTTTCATTCTGAGAAAGATACGGAGGGTTTTAATCTCCAATACAGGCTTCAAAACCAGTGAAAACTTCTTTCAGCTGCCTGCTTAAAAAATGTGTGTGTGTAGACTAGGACACCTATAACTTACCATCTTTTGTGGTCAAAGTTTGTTTCTTTTAGAGCTTTCCATCCCAGGGAGATATCAGGCAAACAGCAAATTCCCAGGACAGCCAGAGGGATCTAAAACTTTTCTGCAGCATAAAGAAGTGCACGTGGCCGTATCTGCCAAAGTTGATTCATTTGGAAAGACTGTCCTTCCTTTTAGCTTAGTTTTAAAGCAATTCAAAAATCTCCCACTGCTGAGATGAAGTATTGGACTGTGTTTTAATAAGGCATTAGGAAATGGCTAACTAATAATACTTTTAATGTGCAGTCAGTCATGCTGGTGTGGGTCGGCAGCCTGCAGTGTCGCACGGTGCTGTGACGTGGGCAGGTGACCTCAGGCTGCGGAGGGAAGGCACGGCCCTGGGGAGGCAGGCGCCAGGGAGCTGCTCCACAGCCAGGCAGGGATGCTGCAGCTGGGGAGCGCTGCTCCTGTCTCCTGGTCCGTACAAGTTTCACAGATTATCCCAAGCAGCCGTCTGTCAAAGGACAGGGGGATACACATACCTCAAATATTTACGGTGGCTCTACTTTGAGAATGAGACAGTTCGTTCACATCTGTGAAAGGACCACTTTTAAAACATCAAAATAAACCATCTGGCTGCGCAACTGTTTCTAATTACTTCCCTGCCTAGACTGTAAACTTCGGGGTTTGGCACCGGCCTCCTTCCCAGAGTGCTGCCCAAATCCCGCTCCCAGGCAGCTAATCAGAGCCACTGCAGCACGGGGGGAGCAGCGCTGGAGCCGGGCTTGTCCAGCGCGCAGCTCTCCGCGTGCCTGCCGGCTCCGTCCGCCCGTCTGTCCGCCCGTCTGTCCGCCCGTCTGTCCGCCCGTCTGCAGGAGCGCCCCGGGTGCGGCTCAGCACAGCTCGCACCATGCTCGCAGCGGGGCTACCGGGGCTGCTGCTGCTGCTGCTGCTGCTGGGCCCCGCGCTGCCGGCCGGGCCCCCGGCCCTGCGGTAAGTGCGGCTCTCCGCGCTCACGGGGCGCGGCGGGTTCTGAGGTGCAGGAGTGTGGAAGCTGGGCTTGCGGAGGGAGCGGTGGAGCAGTTTGTTGGCTCTTCCTCTGCCTCCTTAGAGGTGACACTGAGGGAAGTGCTCTGGGTCACTGGGAACCTCAGTAGGTAGGGGCATGTGCTGACTGCAGAGTTACTTGCAACGATGCATTCGATGCCCCAAATGCACACTCTGAAAGCAGCGAAGGGAGAAGAGCTGGCTAGTGATGACTCTTTACACCCAAACCTTCAGATTCTGCTGCCTGAGTGGAGCAGGCACCTAAACCACAGAACCCTGCTTATTGGTACCCTTTGGTGCAGTGGCACCGTGAGGTGCAGTGCCCTTCACTCTCCACCTCCACCACAGCCAGCACACACTGGCTCCTAAGGCCAGTGGCTACTTTGCTCCAGAGTCTTGCAAAATCTGCTAAGGGCAGGTTCTATTCATCTACATCTTCAGTATTCCTTAGCATTGTGAAGACCTGTTTTTGCCCTGAGCAGTCCTTTGTTGTTTTTCCTGTGATTCAGCTCCTGATGAGACAAAGTGTGATTTTCCCTGAGTATATCCTGAAAGTCCTGATCCCCATGTGCTCCGGTGCATGGTACAATTGCATGGCAGAGCTGCAAATCTACAGATCTAGAAATGGCTTCTGCTGCCATTACCAAAACCACAGCCACAACCTACAGTGTTGTGTGGAAAGCCATGATTACTTTGATCTCCTTTTCCATTGGAAGCATGGATCATATATGTCTGACAACCAGAAGAATCCTGGAAAGATATTTTATTAGAATCAACCTTAAGTGTGCTGTATGATATATGTTCCTCTTATGCTACGCAGATGTTTGATGTATATGGTGTCTCTAAACTTTTTTAAATAATTAAGATCAAAATGTTTCATGATGGATAATCAAACTATAAGTGTCTGTGCATATATACCAGATATGCCTGATGGGAAAGTAGATGAGGCCAATGTAGTTAAAAAGGTAAGTAAAATAAAGTATAAGCATTCTTGCAGGTAGCAATGAGATTTCTGATGAAATTGAAGAAAACAGGGTGATTTGAGGCAAGTAATAATTTGCAACCATAGCTGAAGAGGTGGTAAGAACACTGTTCTGGGTGTTGGCTGAAGCCAATGACAGGAGGGTGGTTTCAAATGGTGCCAAGCTCACATTAGCTATGAGCTGCATCCCCTGGCTTTGACCGCAGCTTATTCTGTTTCCTGCCCCCTGCAGGAGCGCTTTGGGTATTCCTGCTTCCTGCCAGCTGTCCCAGGCTGAGTCGGAGCTCAGGTGCCGCATCCCAGGGGGGAAGCTGTGCAATGACAGAGGCAGGTGTGAGTGTGGGGTCTGCATCTGCCAAGTGACTGAGTCTGGCAAATACTACGGCCCCCTCTGCGAGTGCCACGACTGGGTGTGCGAGACCTACGACGGGAAAATCTGCGCAGGTAAGGGAGCCCTGATGATGACAGGAGTTTAGAAAATGAGGAGTATATATTGAAACCAGGAACATAGCACACTGATACGGTAGAGACATGATTATATATGGGTCCCTGAAACATGACTCCAAATAGAAGTGTGGGAATATCCAAGGATTTTGCCAGAGTAAAGATACAGGCACTGTGTCTGCCATAAAAGGGGACTTAGAGGTTAGAGCAAGATTCATCTGCATCAGGGGCAAAAGCAGAAGTTGCTTTGGGTTGGAGGCTCTGCAAACTGTGTTTTAAGTCTAATATAGTATGTAATATTGATCACACTTTTATATATTTCTTCATTTGAATTGCTTGCCTAATGATGGCTTATGGTATCTACCCTGGCTTTAAACTATCTACAAACAATTAATTTTGTTCCATTATTATTTTTTTCTTCCCCTGCTGTAAGAAAAAAGACTTACTGTAAGATGTACCACTCTCATACTAACTATATAAAACATGAAAACTCTGTTTTTCTCTAAGTAATGATAACGCTTTCCAAATAAAGACTTAAAACAATGTGATTGTACTGTGGTTTCAGGGATTTCCCCACTGACACTGTATTCTTTAATAACATACATTTCTGGGACAAAATTTAGTTCCTGCCAGCTGTTGGAACGTGTAGCTTGGTTTACATCTAAACATTATCACTCTTTCATCTTTCCAGCTGTCTTTACTTAAATTTTTGATTTATTTTGGTCAGATTTTAAAATTTTCTTTTTTTTTTTTTTTTTTTTTTTTTTTTTTTTTTTTTTTAAGCAGCTTAGAATAGTATTTCAGAAAAAAAGCAGGGAGAAGAAATGCTATCACATTCCTAAGGGGATTCAGCCTGGAGCTTGATGAAAGGGGCCAGAAGGGTGCTTCATTTCTAGTATCCCTGTTTCAACAGCTTTACCAGATTCACAGAAACGTGTCATCTTTTCAGGCCAAAACCTGCAATTAGGTCAATGGGAATGTTACAGAAATTCTTCTAGTAAGAGGACAATACAAATACATTCCAGCAGCTGGTTTGGCAAATTTTGTAGGAAAAAAACCCAAACTTACTTTAGCGACAGTTTATCCAGGAAGTCCAGTAATAACATGAAAAGACCAAGAATGGGATTATGAGAAAAAGATTTATATTTGGCACCTGTGGCTTTAGAGTTCTGTAGAGAAACTGATTCATAGACTCTGCAGTAAGCAGTGTTAAATCCCCCTACATAAGAAATATTATAGCATTTCACTGCTTTGCTGTCCCCAACATGAATTTTTTGATTGGTAGTGTTATTTCAAAGTGCTTGCTGTTGTTGCTGGGTTAATTGCATAAAGGGAAACTGAAAGCTCCTTCAATTTTAATATTCTACTGTAAATTCCACCATCATGTTCCTGTTAATGTAATGAACAGTGGCTGCAAGTTTTGTAAGGGCTTTCATGGTATAGTGTGCTCACAGTATAAACAGAGCCAGGAGATCTCTTAACAATATTTAGCTTTTGGGTAGCACTTCATGCAGCAGTTCAAAGATGTGAATGCTAAGTGATTAAATGCCTTTTTTAAAAACTATTTTCTGTACTTGTCACTTTGTCACTCCTAGCTGGAGTATTGAAGCCGTGTTACCATGTTATCACTGAGATGTGAAATAATTTGAATTCTCTCTTCTGGAAAAAAATAAGTAGTAAAAAATTCAGTACTAAGTCCTGGGGAGGGAAACAACTGTGAAGGTTACAGGAGTTATGCTTGCTTCGTTTGGGTTTATCAACAACTGTGCTAAAAATCCAGCTGATTTTGTTGCAGTCCAGGGCTGCCCAGCACTGCAGGAGAGCAGCCCCAGGTAACTCTTTTGGAGCTGGGATCCAGTTGGTGAAACACCTCCTTTCAGGCTGTACTTGTTGCCCTCTTCATTTTTCCACCATGTTTTTAGTCACTGAAATTGTGTGTATGTAGGAGGAATGGAACATAGAAAAGAAGGTCAGATCTAGGATTAATGGCAGGAGACTGGAACTTATGTTGTATGAATAATATTTTCCCTTACCCAGCTATTCAGTGAACTACATCCAGTGATGTTTCTTAACATTACATCACCAAGCCAATTTCCAGTATATGACATATTTCTCTTTCTTTGCATTTTTGGGCAATTTTTTGACTTAATGGTGAAGTTGTTTCCTCTCAGTGAATAGCCATAATGTCTTACTGCAGTTCTATTTCTGTTTCCTGCTTTAATTTTCTTTTTCATGTTTTTATTTTGACATTTGCTGTCCCTTTTAATAGCGGACCTCTCCTGACATAAGCAGCAACAGTAACTGCTGACTGGTTACCACATGGAGAACTTCTAGGCACTCTTTCAATATCCCTCTAGAAAACCATTGCATTTGAGGCTAATGCTGTTTAAAACAAGCTACTTTTAAAGCTGCCAGAGTAATTCCTTTTACAAGTGATTGATGTCTGATCACCAGTGATGTTCATATTCAGAGGTGGACAGGCAGAGTTGTTTGAGTCATGAATGCCAAAGATAGCTGTGTTGCCCTGCCAGTCAGCTCAGACATACCTCCACTTCCTTTGCCGGTCCCAAGCTAAAAAAAAAATATTTAGTTGCTCAATGTGCAGCTCATTATCTTAAAGGCACTTTCTGTGTCAGATCCACTTTCTGGAACAGTTGTTGAACAAATATATTCTGGAGAGAGAAGGCCTGAAGGTAAAGAAAATGTCAGATATCCATTTGATTGATTTGCTTTTTCTAATAAACCTTTTATAAAATAGGAAAGAGATTATGGCATGAGTAATAAAGAAGAGCAGATTTAAATTTTGCTGTCCTTTTACTTTCCCTTGAGACTTTGCTGTATTTCTATCCCATTATGATTCCCGGTGCTTTAGAGGGAGTTCCAATAATTTTCTTGCCTTTTATCCCACTGGGATTGATAAAGTAACAGGTGATCCCTCATGGAGTCAGAAAAGAAGAGAGAAACCAAGTACTGTGTGTAGTCTGAATCACTGAGTCTTCTGTCCTCCTCCTGGCCTTTTTATTTGCTGTCTGTATCATGGGGTGTAGAGGAAATCAAGTAGATGCTGTCCTGTCATTCTCTTGTCCCTGTCAGGGACATCTTTATTTTATCTTTTGTTGTTTATCTGCAGGGAGATGAGCTAAGAGAGGAAGACAGAATCAAAAACAATCAGATCCCCAAAAGATTTATGCTCCTTTCAGAACAGACAATATACTTTTTGCTGTTTTTTGCAGATAGTAGTTCTCACCTCAGACAGTTGCATATTGCCTCAGGCTTTCTTAGCATAAGTGGAGCCCATATTGTGTGCGAGGGAAAGTGGAATACAGGACTAATTCCTGTCACATCACTGCTTCTACTGATATCTATTTGTCTGTGGGGTTTTTGCATAGTGGAAAATCCATTCAATATAGTGAATTTTTTGTGGGTTTTGTTTGTGTTTGTTTACTCATTTGGATTTTCATTTTGTTTGTTTTTTTTGGTTGGTTTGTTTGGGTTTTTTTATTTAATATTTTTAACTGTGTCTGTGGTTAATGAAGATAGAAAAACTAAACTAAGCATAGACTTCCTTGGCCAACTGAAGTGGGGACACTTTAGAACTTTAGATGTTCTTAGAGAATGCACTTGAAGATAGAAAAACTAAACTAAGCATAGACTTCCGTGGCCAACTGAAGTGGGGACACTTTAGATGTTCTTAGAGAATGCACCACAAGAACTGCCAGCTGGGACGTGTATGATTGCACTCTTGTAGTTGGTGAGATGAAAAGAGAGATACAATTTGGTGGCAACATAGGCAGCAACACATGAAGAAGGTTTGTCTTTGCTCAGAACTGTATTTTGTTATCTTTGTTTTTTTCATAGTTATTAAGATTTTATAAACCATTTTTCTTCCAAACTGAAGCACCTTTTACACCGACAGAGAAAAAGGGTGGCACAGTCTGATTTTCCATAAGCAGTTGCTGTATAACTTGCTGCCTTTCAAGCCAATGAAAGATTTTTTCTGTTTCTTTCTCCAAAGCTGTGGTTGCTGTGGATGCTGTACCTATTTTAAGACTAGTTCAGCAATATAATGCCAGTCGTAGAACAGCCAGAGGTGTTATCATACGTAACATGAAGGACAAAAGGATTTAAGTGCCATTATTTCCTGATCTGTAAGGTTTTAAACTATGTAGAGAACACAAGTGAAAAATTAAATTGACAAGCAGTAGATGTAGAAATAACAAGATAAATCCAAATTGAAGTATTAATGTAATACGTAGCTATGCATCCATGGAAGTTTATTGGATGGTATATATACCAGTTTGAGAGAGTTAGGAATTTGAAAATGGAATTTGGAGAACATTTTGGGCTGAGGACTGCTCTTTGCACAGAAGCTGAATAGTGTCTTTAGGCAGAGCTATCAAAGTTGAGCTGGAAAGGCTCTAACAAATGTGCCTTTGTATTCATACTGAAGGGAGCTCTGACATGCTGATTGTTCATTGAGCAGCATTTCTTGCTAAAAGTGTGAAGAAAAGTCAGCCTGTGACCTGCATTGATTGCCATTTGATCCAAAGTGAAATTCAAAGACCTGGATTTTGAGAACAGGTATAAGCCTCTTCTCTGTCAGGGGCCATGTTTGCAAAGATTCAGCTGTGGCACATCTGGCCATTGGAGACAAAGCCTCCTTAAAAGACCAAGTTAAAAATAGGGCAGGAGGCTACTGATGAAAATGGAGGTTGCAGTTCTGCTCTGACCTAGTTCGCTTTAGTCCGGACTTCAGAACTTGGCATTTTGTGACTCTTCCTCCCAGAGCAGGGGTGTGTAGGTGTGGTAATAGCATCCATATTCATCTCAAAACAGGTTCCTCAGGTTCTAGCAGAAGTGAAATTGTGATAGCATAGACCTCATTGCAGGTTCATTTCCTCGCTAAGAAGTCCCAGCAGACACAAGCACAAGCTAAAGCCTGTATTATTCTCAACTTTGTGCTTTTGGTACCTGATCTAGGTAAAATCAAGCAGCCTTTG